CACCGTGTCTGACGGAGTGAAGAATAAAGAACGCGAAGCGACCACTGATCCATTCGTTTCCGGATGGAAAATCGTCGACGTCGACGTTAATGTGAGCAGTTTTAGGTCATCTTTCGGACGACTATAAATTAGCTCTTTTAGGGAATTTATGGGGTACTGAGTGAAAAAATGGGATCTCGAGACAAAAAAAATTGGGGTAGAGGGGGTGATTGCAGGTCAGGGGTTGGGCACGATGGGGAGTTCTACTCCACATTATTCTCTCGCTGAGTAGACAGCCTCTGGGAAACTTTCTAAATTCGATGACCTTCACAAGTACTAATGATATTTTATCAGAGATCACTTCCAGGCAAAGGGAGTGCGAGGCGGGGGAGGGGGAAGAGGTGCTACCTACGATAAGAAGTGCCATGTCTTGTCTGTACGGTCTCGTCTTGCGTTGCAGCGCCCATTTGAAGTCTCAGAGTGGGTCACCCAACTTCCCCGCTTGGTGAGGGGCCTCAACAAGCAGACATAATGTGGCAATGTCCCCTCCCTTCCGCACACCTTACGCTTCACCCTTCACCTTTGGCTCTCGATAAGTTCGGCATCAAGTTAAGGCCCTGAAAATAGCTCGGACAGAGAACCTTATGAAGATCCGACCCACATGGAGGTATAGCAGCGCCTTTTATCACATTACCATTTCTGCACTTAAACTGCCATCTTTAAAGGTGAAAGCTTCAGAAAGCTATGGTCCAGTTGTAGTGCCAGAGGGGGGGGGGGGACACTGGGCAAAACGAAGCCGCAAAACTTTTCTTTTTGGCACCCTAGCTAAAATTAAAGCCGTCGAGAGCAGCACATCTGAGCACTGGAGTTATTGGCCCTGCCCTGGAGAAGGCATATTAAGCGGCTCGAATACAGCGCAGCCGAGGCAGCTTTTTACCAATCCCTGGAATGGCATCGTTGGTGAAAAGGATGCCACTGCTTGCTCCAGTCCAAATCTCCTATCCCATTCCTCTCCTCTCAGTTACAAGATACAATATCTGTAGCTGCCGCCAGCTTCATCTCTCCAACAGACCGTTTTTTGCTTAAGTAATCAGGCACTGCCATGTGTGGGGATTTCTTATGCATATGGTGGCCGATGCCCCCTCTCGCCCCCTCTGCTGATCCCCAAAACAGGTGAAGTGAAAAGGAGGTCGCTTCCCAACCTATTCAAACCGTACAGAATAATCTTTGATCAGAGAAAAATTTCTTACTTCTATGCTATGAGGAACCTCAACGGGCCTATCCTGTTGAATCTCTGATTGTCAATCTCCGACAGCACTCGGCACCGTGCACACCTCGAAAGAAATCCTTGGGCTACCTAAAGCCGATCGCAGCTTCCTACTACTCTAAGGGTAACCTGCTCGCCTGCAGCCACTCTGCGTACATTAAAGGAATGCGAGAATTGTCTGAATGAGTTGCACATTTTCATTACAGCATCGATCGGCCCTGCGAGGCACTGAATAGTCCCATTTGTGCTGGCTTACCCGTAAAGGGATCGACCACGAGGAGAAACCTTTGTCCTTACGATTTTCCTCGTTTTCAGGAATCGCCGTTCAACGTCGAAGCACTATCCGACCCAAGACGAAATCCATTCGATGTGCAGTCGGACAACTGTGAATTATGCTTGTCCCTACAGCGAAATGCTGTCTATTTCACCGCCGAGATGCTATTGCCGGCTCTTGTCACCTCGCTATTCACCGTCGCTTCTGTATTCTTCCAGGTAAACTGTTTCGTCTGTCAATCAGCTCATTTAGCCCTTACCATTTTTCTTAACCGATTCAACCATTTCCTTTTCAGCTATCGAAAACACAGGCAATGCTGTTGGGCTTCTCAGTTGTTTCGCAGATACTCGACCTTATCCTTATTTCACAACGACTTCCAAGCTTCACCGCTCATACACCTACAATATGTGGGTTTTCCAAAAATTTCATTTTTTTCAGTTTTCCAAATCAAAAATTGAGTTTAGTGAAATTCGCCGGTTTCAACCTTGTGATGACGGCAGTTCTGTTCGTTGTTTCGCTGGTTTTGGAACGACTTGCCTCCACACCATCAGAAATTCCTCCTCCTCACTCGGTCGATCGAGTGGTGCAACTTATTGATCGAATTCTACCGTTGCCTAAGGTGGGTGCTGCTGTACTGGATGCTTCTTAAGGCTCACGAACTTCACATACTGATTTATAAGACTTTAGGAAAGCAAGCGGGATACAGTAAGCCACATTTCGCGCGGGACTGATTGTGTGGGAGTAGCGGTTGCACGCAACACCGCTCAGTTTTCGCCTAGGCCCTGGCCAGGAAAAGCGGAATTGTCGTATCTCCCAACTCTTGGCCTCTTCCTGGAGCTTCCTTTCCCCCTCCTACACCCCCTTGAGGGCGCACAAGAGTCCGGGTCAATAACAAAACGTACACCAACCAAGCTGCTCAAAAGGGCATAACACAGGCTAATAATCTCGGACAGCTAAGCCCGCCTACGGTACGCTCAAGTGTGTGCATCCACGGAGCCGATACATTTGATTTTACGCGCAATTTCGGGAGTACTGTGCCCGCCTGTTTTCCAAAACTTATGATCTTGAACCTCAAATAGAAAAATACAATCTTGTTCATGTTGGGCCGTGTCAG